ACTGATGCTTTTGGAAAATAAAAATGAATCATTAGAAAAATCACGTGCTCGAAAGTCACAGCATCGTCGAGTTGCCTTACTTCTCAGGCACATTCCAAAGCTGTACTAACTCTTCCAGGTCACCAAGTTATCACTTAGGAAGGCTCATCATGTGAAACGTACCCAAATAATCCTCAAAGAGCCCAGAGGGGCAGCCAGGCTTCCAAAGGCAGCTGGCTTCTAATTAAGGGTGACTGAGGCCCAGGCGAGAATCACCTTTATGTAATAAAGTTACATAACCCGTTCCTAATTCAGACATTTGTCCGAGCTGGGCAAGCATGTTCAAATGTCAGCTGACTCCTTCAAAGCCTCAACTCACAGTGCCCCAGAGGGAATCTGGCAAAGAGCCGAAGGACCAGAGCAGAAATAAGAGCTCATCCTTCTACTTGAGGGGTCAGTGCCGTTGCATCTGGGAGCAAAAATACAACAGGAATGCAAAGCTGGGAGGTGCTGGGGACACTAGCAATGCTGGTGTTACATCAACAAGTGGAATGTGGGGTTGGATGGCTGCCTCCTCAATGAAGCCTGTGCAGGGCTTTCCAAGGTCTTGTTTATCCATGGAACCCTCCTTTGAACAAGATACACATAGTTGCCTGCCTGCCCTCTTTCCTCATCCAGGAGACTCCTAGTCACTTCATAGAGCATTTCAAAAGTCACAGATGTAGCAGAGAAAGAACTGGGAAGCCAGAAGACCTGGGTTCTACTCTAGGCTCTACCACTAACAGGTGGTTTGACTTGGACAAGTCACTTCCCTGCTCCTGAGCCTCAGATTCCTCCCCAGTACAGAAGGGGAACAACTGAAATCACTGTCACGGCCCCCTCTGACTCCATGACTTGCTGGGTCGTTCAGGTGCTGCACCTCAGTTTGCACTTGCCCATGATTCACACATGACTCCATACCTGTACCTTTGTCCTCTGCCCCCTCATCCCTGTCTTATTAGAAACAACCACTCTGCACTGATCCTGATCCTCAAGGTGGGTTAAGAGCCTGAACTGCTTATCCTGCTCATTGCATCTCAGCTCCTCGCACACACTGCAAGGTACTCTCTCTTCCCACACTCATCACAATACTCAGACAGGAGGAGGCCCTTGGCTAATCTTCAAAAATTGTCTGTGGAATTGATTCTTAAGGCTGGACTCAATTAGCCCTACATAAAGGAGGTTGATAGCTGTGTAACCTCCCCTGCAAAGAGAACTTCCATTTCCCATTTATCAAATATGTATTGAGATCCTACCATAGCCAAGCCCTGTGCCAGGCTCCAGAAAGACAGTGGCGAAAAAACATTGTCCCTGTCCTCACAGAGCTGACAGTTTACTACTGAAGCTCATAAAGTCCACTTATGATGAGAGGTCTAATCATTAGCATGGCTTCAAAGTCTTACAGAACATTCTAGAACCACTAAATAGACTATTCCAATGTTTAAATCTGTTATCAGATACCTGCTCTTGTAACACGTTGGGGGAATTTTTTTAGGAACAGTGATTAAGTTTTCTGGTGAGGACTGTGTGTGTGTATATATATAAAGGGGTGCTATTTGTGAGGTTTGGGGAGTTTTGTTTACCTTTTAAAAGGTAGCACTTAGCTGCTTCCCTTCCACTTTGAAACACAGGCTTAGAATATTTCCACCTACAATTAATCATAGATAGCAAGAGAAAGAAATAATACAACATCATTACTGCTTCCATCTCCTACCCAGTCCCTACCCAGGTTACCCATCTCTTCAGGACTTTACACACTGAATTAAAATATCGTAATTTCCCTAATAACTGGGCTAATGTTTTCCTAGAAGATTCCAAATGGATCAAACAAATTTAATTAAGAAAAATTGGAAGTCTAGGACAGAATCCTAGGAATAATCATGTCATACATCCCTGTGGTCCTGAGAGACCAAAGTCCTCAGGTATATGACATATGGGAATTGACATCACTCCAAAGATGTGGCTACTTTTCTTTCATTCTCAATCCACATGTAGCCTGTAGAGAAATTCACTAACAGCCTTCTCCTTGCTGTATGGATGGAGCAATTCAAGTGTAGAGTGGCCTTTATAATTTATTTTCTAGTCAATAGCCATCATCTACGCACTCTACAGTCAGTCTTTAGAAGAAGTTCGCTGTTACCAAATGAATAAATGGAGAACAGGATGCTTGTTTCCCAAATCCAAAAGAGGAAGGTTCAGATATGAGCTAAGAAACAGTTCTGCCAATAAAGGACATAGGCTTGATATCACTGACGCAAACTGGAATCTGTCACTTCTGTAGCAAGAGACTGTTTCAGCTCCAACTCCAAAGCAAGACCTGCAGCATTTATTGAGTTCACTAATGTGTAAAACGCTAGATTAATGTGGTGGGAGACAGAAAGGCAAAGAAGACAGTCCCTGACCTCAGAGGGCTTAGCCCTTGCTCTACTTGGAATAGCTGTTCCCAAATTGTGGTCCCTAGATCTGCAGCACCAACTTCACCCGGGAGCTTGCTAGAAATGCACATTCTCTGGCTCCATCCTAGACCAGCTGAATCAAAGCTCCAGGGGTGGGACTTGGGAATCTGTGTTTAACAAGCCCTCTAGGTGATTCTGATACACACCAAAATCTGAAAACCAGTGAGGTACAAAAAGCAGAGCACACAACGCCAATGATACACAGCATCAGCATCTGTGATGCCCTTTAGATATGAACACACTCCATACATAAGCCACTCACAACCAATCTTTTAGGCAGTGACACACCTGACTGCTACAAGCATTTACTAAGTGCTGTTAAGTACTTTTCAGCAATTGATATTTTGCTATGAGGTAAGTTAACATTAGTCCTATCCTCTTTAATAAGCAATCTCTGCATATTCATCTGTGTATTTGGTAACGTGTCAAAAATGCCCTGCGTTTGTCAAAAAATGATTGAATATATTCTTTGGCCCCAATTGGGAGTAAAGAAAAGAAACTTAAGCGAGGATCACTATGACCAAGGTCCTATAAAAAGCAAAGGACAGCAGTAAATTTCTACAAATAAGTCTAAAGAGAAAACCTCAGACTCCCATGGAAAATGGCCTGCCCATGAACCATCAGTTCTCTGGGCTTTTTCTTCAAGGCCCTTCCAGGAAGACCCAACCTCCCACACCTTTGCATAAAGCCAGTCTCCAAAAGCTTGGGACAGCACTTCCAGCCCCATTCAGAGATGAGGAACAGGTCTCCATGATCTCGAAGAATAGTACAAGAAACAGTGTCAGGAGACATCACTTACACAATTTGAAAAATAACTTTGGATTATGTAATTCTATACACCATACCATCACCCCCTTTCTCCCAGAGAGTCTGGTTTTCCTCCCCTCTAGAACCCAAACGTATAATCTATAAAAAAGAAGAATTAGCAATACCTACTTGCTCCTTAAATAATCTGAAAAGCCCAGAAAAAGAAAAAATAAGTGCATGAAGAAAACAGGGCCATTATTCTCCATCTGTAGGCCCTGGTACCGCCCAGCGGAGAAGGAGGGATGCCCAAAGAGCTTCCCAGCTTCAGCTTATAAACGGAGACCATTCTGGTACTAAAAACACCCCTTCCTCTTTCAGAGCCTGCTCTGCCTCCATTGCCTCGGGGCGAGCCCACAGAACTCTCCAGCTTATAGAATCTCCCCGCCACTTACTGTAACCACTTACTGTACAAAGGGAGCAAAAACAAGTGCTGGGCTGTCCCACCTTCTCCCCACAACTGTGCTTCCACATGGCTGCGTTTCAGGTAGAGATGAAAGAAACAAAAAGATAATGGATTCGAGCAGATAACAGCCATACATTACCACAGGCTTAATGAAAATGGCCTTTTATTACCACCTCAGCCACCTCCTCCTCAATGTAATCAAGGAAATGTTCATCAAGTGATTCCACATGTATTGGTAGGATACAACCAACTTTTTTTTAAGCCTTGAGGCCAGCTAGGATGACCACCTGTCCCAGTTTGTCCAGGACTTTCTCAATTCAGCACTGAAAGCCCTACGTCCTGGGAAATCTCTTCAATCACAGGTAAACTGGGACAGGTGGTCATCGTTGAACCAGCAGATCCTAGTCTGCTGCTACAGGAAAACAAATTTATAGATAGGACCACATGTTTCCGATCTGAATCCCAACAAGTCTCAGGAAAGGATCATCACAGCCTTTAGTAACTTAAAATAGGTGAATGCTCCTCATGCCAAGAAACTTAAGAGCTGGGAGCCTTGGCTAGTGGTTCACATGGACGCCAATCTTTGAGAATCTTCTGGAAGGCTTACTAACCCCCAGAGATTCTAATCCATAGGTCTGGCCAGGACCCAAGTATTTGCATTTCTAACAACTCCCAGGTGCCACTGACATTGCTGGTCATAGAGCACGCTAGGAATAGTAACAGCCTAGGCTAGAGCTCGACTATTAACTTGCTGACAAAGCTTGAGTCACCTATAGGCCTTCCTCGGAAGCCACCGACCTCTCCAGCTTGTTTCTTCCCCTAGAAGTATACATGCTCCCTAAGCTCTCCTCAAATGCTGGGCTTCTAGAACAGTGTTTCTCTGATTTCAGCATGCAGAAGAACCACCTTGAAGGCTGGTTAACACGGATTTCTGGGTTCCTCCCCACCTATTCTGCTTCAGCAGGTCTGAGGCGGGCCCAGGAAGCTGGATTCTAACAAGCTCCTGGGTGATGCTGATTCTGCTGAGAGGACCACTGTGAGGAGCACAGTTCTCCAGCAGGAGAGGCCCTTGGACAGTATCACACCCGTTGTGAACAAAGAGCTGAGTAGCGATTATGCTCCAGGCTTTTCGCATCTTTCAGCTTAATATTTTTTTAATCTTCAACAAATTCTATTTTCTCTTCTCACTCATTACACCAACAGCTGCATTCCATCTCCCTAACCTTTTTGTCTGTGGATTCAGAGATTGCTGTCGCTGCAGATAGAGTAATCTCACAGGCTGCAGAAGCTTTCTGCTCAATGCTCCACCCAGTTCGCATGACAGGGTCAGAGAGAAATTCAGGCAGAAAGGACAATCTCTTCACTCCGAAGATGAGAAGGATTCGGGGACACAGCAGCCTGCAAGAAGTCAGTGAGTGGAAATACTTAGTTCCCTTGATCTCCAGATAAAGTATTTATTTTCCCCTCAGGGAGGACGTATTAGAGGGGAAAAACTCCACCAATAGAAATCAACTCAAGTTGTTCAAGTCAGGTGCATCACTGAGCTCCACTCCCGATCTTCTTCAAGTATTTCTCCCAGGGCTTCTTAGAAAATTCTAAAAGAGAATAAATCTTAGTTTGCTTTGGAAACCTTCTAATAGCTACCAATATTTAAAACGATATGGCTCACTAGCCCCTACCCCAGAGTGGCCTGTAAGGGGCAGGGCTGGGAGCTGCAGCATACTCGCAACTCTGAAGTTGAATGTTGGGTTCACCAAGAACATAATTCGTTGAAATATCTAGCTTCTAGCACACGGGGCGTTCAAAAAGGTATTAAGCAAGAAACAGCACTATGTAGTCCACAAGCAGAATACCGTACATTTGCTAAATTTCTTTAATATTTAAGCAATCCACTTCAACTTTCTATGATCTAGGGAGAAGGAACAAAGCAGTGCTTTTCCTTTCGATTTCCTTTTGGGGACAGAGCACCACATCTGAAATGGGTCAGCTTCCCGACCTTCACAGGCAGCATTCTTCTCCTGGAGGGAACACTCTGAGTCTAAATGGAAGGGGATTCAAGTGAGGTTTGAAGGCTAAGTCCGCTTGAGACAGGCCTCATACAGAGCCCACGCTCCCCAGGTTACCTGGCGACCCACCCAGGAAGAAGGTGGTGGGAGGAAGGAGACACCTCTCTTCCCAGGGCAGCACTGGTCTGTTGCTGGGAGCCAGAGAACCCTGGGTAAGGTCCCAGTGGGTCATGTCCTAAGGAAGCACTCTCAGGAAGTGGAGCTGTCAACGCTGCCAGGAGCATTGTTCCACACTTCCTCATGCCTAGATCTGTCAGCCTTCCTGGGTCCAGCCCTGGCCCTCCTCTAAGCAAGCTGCCTGACCTTAGGCAGGTCACTTCACATCTGAGCTTCATTTCTTCCTATGTGAAAAGAAGATGATAACCCCTGCTTGGCCTGGGGTTGGAGGATGCTTTGTGCCAGGGTAAGGGGTTGCCTCTGCTTTTGGGGGAGTCCACCCTGCCAGCTTACACCTTGAGCTTGGTCCACTAAGACTAGTCGATGAGCTCTGATACTTCCAGATAGCTGGTAGCTGGTGAGAACTTACCCACATCCTGCTTAGAAGCCTTCAAACATTCCAGGAACTTGTAGGCCAAACTCAGCAACTGAGGATCTCTTCTGTCCATCCACCTCCAACCTGCCCTCCAGCCCCAAAGCCAGCCATTGCAGCAACTTACTGGTGATTTAGCTGCATTTTTCTCCTCTGGGCCTCTGCACACACCACTCCCCATACCTGGAATTCTTTCCCTTCTCCCCTTAGCTTTTCAAATTCCTCTAGGCCTAGTGTGGGTCCCTTCTGTGCAAAGCCTTTCTGTCCTCAGTTCTTTCTCTTCAAGTGCCTTCTTGAAGCCTTCCCTGAACTCCCCAGATCACTGTCAGCCCCAACTATGAGCCCCAGTGTGCACCCCTAGTGTACCTACACAGTCTTTATTTTACAGTTTGCATATCTGTTCCCCCTACTAGATTTATAAGCACACTGAGATCTCAATTTTTCCTTTATCCCCAGTGTCAATTATCAAAGTGGCCATCAAAGACTGTTAGAATACATGAACTGGTATCTCTATAAAGTGAGATAACTGAGTTATAGTATCAATGACCTTTTCAAGTACATTGCCAATGCTGGTGGTATCTCGCACTAAACAAACTTAATATGTGAAAATCAGATTTACCTAAAAGATACATCTGAAGGGTTATGTACAACAAGATTCACCAGAGGACTCTTTTTTAAATATCAGGTTCCCATGCATTTAAAATAGGACTTAGTCTGATATTTATTTTTTCAGGTACTTGCACTCAATTTGGTTCAGGCAACATTTACTGAGAACAAACTACCACCTAATGGAAGGTGTTCTTCAGAACTCACTGTAGTTGGGGCTTGCCCTGTGTGCTTCCTCAGCCTCATCATTCAGTGCAATTACTAAGTCTCTTCTTAACGGAGTCGCTGGGACACGAAAGAGATCATGCATCCCCACAAACAAGCAGGCATCTCTTCAGGAGCCACCAGCCCAGGGATGCCCCAGCAGCCACGGCCCCGACTCACGGATGTAACAGCAGACATCTCAGACTCCTGAGACCCCAAACAAGCACCCACAGGCCTTTTTCGTTGCAATCTGTAAAGTATTTGTTTTCTACTAAAATATTTGAACTGGATATCATCTTTAGTTTCCTTTTCCCTACTTCCAAGATTCCAACTCCCCATGGAAAGAGCAGGAGCTCTCTGGAGCTTCTGGAGACAGATGGGCAGCCCTGAAGTGAACTGCAAAGCTGCTACTTAGCAGCTATGCAACCTTAAGCTCATAATTGAGCCTCTCTAGGTCTCTGTTTCCTCATGCAGAAAGTAAGGTGGTTTGAGAACTGAACATTACATGCAGAAAGCACTCGAAGACTGTGCACAGAGGAAGCATTCACTCAATGGTAATTTTCATCATCAAATCATCTATCTCCTGATCACACAAAATTCACTTTAAAAGTAACTCCTCCCGGAAGTCTGCCCTAAGAGAAGTAAAAAGTGGTTCCTTCCTTGGTGTTACTTATTTTAAAAGCCAAGCCCCTAAAATGCAAATCAAATCCACAGTAAGATACCACTGCACATGCACTACAATGGCTAAAATCAGAACATAAGCGTTGGCAAGGATGTGGACAAATCGGAAGCTTCGTATTGCTGACTCAACTGTAACATGGTGTAGCTGCTGTGGAAAATGGTTTGATGTTGCCTGAAAAAGTAGAGCACAAATACCTTATGATCCAGCAATTCCATTCCAAGGCATATACCCAAAAGTAGTGCAAACAGGGAGCCAAACACTTTTCCATTAATGTTCACAGCAGCACTATTCACAATAGCCAAAAAGGTAGAAACAACCCAATGTCTGTCAGTTGAGGAACGGATAAACAAAATATGGTAGATCCATACAATGGGCTATTATTTAGCCCTAAAAAGAAATAAAGTTCTGATACATGCTACAATGCAGATGAACCTTGGAAATGTTATGCTTTGTGAAAGAAGCTAGACACAAAAGGTCACATATTATATGATTCCATTTATATGAAATATCCAGAATAGGCAAATCCATAGAGACAGAAAGATTAGTGGTTGCCAGGGCTAGCAGAAGGGAGAAATGGGTACAGGATCTCCTTTGCAGGTGATGGAAACACTTGGGAACCAGACAAAGGTGGTAGTTGCACAACATTGTCAATGTTCTGAATGATACGGAAAAGTACATGTTAAAATGGTCAACTGTGTATTATGTGAATTTCACCTCAGTAAAATTTTTAAAGGCTCTACAAAAGAATATAAATTTTCCATTTTCAAAAAGTAGGATACAAACGTGTCACTGTTCAGTCATTCCCAATACCTATTGGAAGCCTGCTGTGTGCCAGGTACTGGGCTCGATACTCATATCTATCGCCTAGTGGATCATTTATGTCATCAAATAGGGTTTGTTTGCACATACATACAAGACACACAAAGAGACATATGCCATCCACAGAACATAATACAGTTTTCTCCCATTCAAAGCTCAGTTCTTAGAGTGACTTTTTTTTTTTTTAAAGATTTTATTTTTCCTTTTTCTCCCCCAAACCCCCCGGTACATAGTTGTGTATTTTTAGTTGTGGGTCCTTCTAGTTGTGGAATGTGGGATGCCACCTCAGTATGGCTTGATGAGCAGTGCCATGTCTGCACCCAGGATCTGAACTGGCGAAAACCTGGGCCGAAGCAGAGCACGTGAACTTAACCACTCGGCCACGGGGCCGGCCCTGCTTAGAGTGACTTCTAATAGGTCCATGAACTGTGTGTATACAAATAAGGCCACTTCCATCATAGCATGTCACTGTGCTTTTGCTCTACTTAGTAAATGTGACTGAATTGACATCTAAAAATTCAGCAAAACCATACTAACCACGCTATAACGTATGATTAGTGAGAAATTTCCCTGTATTCTGTGCACTGATGCCAGATACACTCTGATAACACTGCCTACATAAACTGGTTTTTGACAGTAGAGAGGTATTATAGCAACTGACAATTTCATTCTTGAAGCTTTACAGATTTCACTGTAAAACCATGAGATTCTTTTTTAAGAGTTTTCTGACACACAGCGCTAAAACATTTTCATCAAAATGTGGCTTTTTTAGTTGACTAGACACTCATTCCCAAAGGGCAGACGGGTACATCTTGTCCCAAGCACCATGGTCCCGTCATACGCCCTCAAGCCATGGGGTAGTGGCATTTCCATTATGGAAGCCATCACCATGCTATTTCTTTTGTTTTATTAAAAGGCTTAGGGAAAGTATTAATGGTTTTTCTACCTCATCTCTGTTTTCAAGTGAACATTAAAGTGGAAAGAAAATCCTTCAAAGACTAGGAATCCCATGGAACCAGAAGGGAAGATGTATGTATGAACTGCAGGGAATCCCAGTGCAAATCTCCAGTCTAGAAAATGCATAAACCTATGTGAGCAAAGTGTCAAACGTTTACTATGGTGTCCTTCCCACCATTAACTCCACACCACTGTTTGCTTTTGGCACATCTCTCCTGCTGCTTGATGATTTTGAATGGTACATGCTACTTTTTTAAGGTAAACTTCAATTGAAAATATTTCAGGAATGTTATACTACCCTTCTTAATAAATTCCAGGCATCCAAATAAGAATGGAGAAGCCCTACTTTAATTTCCTTAGACTGAGAGAGGACAGAGGCAAGGCTACCAAGATCAATAAAGAGATGGCAGCACTGAAACCCACAGTCAAATCAGGGACAGGATATGAGCAGCTGGAACAGGAGCCTTCAGACACCAAGTCTCATCCCCCAACCGGGCTGCTGCTCCCAGACCACCGCTCTGAGGTTGCAGGGGCT